AACTACAACATCAGCTGAATTTGAGGAACTAGAAAGCACCGTTTTAACTTTTGGCGACAGACGAAGCGACAATAGGTTCAGTTGAAGAAACTTTGACAGCAACGTATAAAGTGTGATTATGTGAAGCATTTCCAGTTGAAGTTATTTGAGAGGCTTCAGTACTATCAGACTCATTATTAACTTCATTCACAGCTTCGGTTATCGATTCCAGAGGAGTAGAAACACGCGTTATCTCGTCAAAGGCATGAGAGGATTCGGAAGAAGAAGTGTCAACAGCTGGTTGTGTAACTGGATTTTTTGTTTCAGAGGAAGCGCTGGAAGTTGAAACAGCCTCTTGACTTGAAGACTGAGTAGATGTTTGGTCGACTTGAATAGTTTCTGTTGATACTGCTGGTTCATTGTCTTCATTAACTTGGCTTGTCTGGTTGGTAAAATGGAAACTTGCTGATGAACTTGAGCTAGATGAACTGCCAGATTGGTAAACTTGAGTGATAACTTCAGATGTAGAGCTCGAAGATGAGCTTGTTGCCTTTGAAGAACTCTCATAAGTACCGGTAGTTGCTTCAGTTGAGGTGACAAATACAACAACAGCATCTACACCAGATGAACCTGCAGCTGAACTTGATGTGCCACTAGTTGATTGTGAAGACATTTGCGAAGCTTGGCTACTAGTTTCTGTAGAAACTGAATCAACTGATCCAACTGTAACATCTATATCTATTGCACTTGACTGTTGAGTAACTAGGTTACTAGATTCTGAATCTGAATTTGAGGTATGGATAGAACCAGATTCCTGGGCTGATTGAGTGCCAGATTGGGTTGAAGAACTAGATGCTGAAGTTGTAGGTTCGTTACCTTCAGATGCAGTTGAAACGGAGACTGATACATTGCTGGACGATTGTGATGATGTTTGGGTGGATTGGCTACTAGTTTCAGTTGAAACTGAGTCGACTGATCCAACGGTCACATCTATTGATACTTCACCTGATTGTTGAGTAACTGGGTTATAAGACTGTGAATCTGAATCTGAATTTCGGATTGAGCCAGATTCGGCTGAAGAACTAGGGGTTGAATTTTGACTGGATGTTTGAGAAGTAGATTGGTCTAAAACCTCTGATGATCCAACGGTGGTATCGTCATAAGATGAACTGGAAGATGATTGAGTGCTTTGGACTTCTGAAATTGAATCAAATGTTGAAGCTACAGTTGGGCTGGTTTCTTGAGATGCTTTATTATTAGTTACAGACGATGAACTAGAGCTGGTTTGCTGATTTGAAGTTTGTGATGGAGTACCAGATGAAGCAGAGTCATTTGTGGTCACTATTACGACAACTGTGTTTCCATCAGATTTACTAGAAGTTGCCTGGGTTGTTGGTTCATTACCTTCAGATGAAGTTGAAACTGATATTGATACATTGCTGGATGATTGTGAAGATGTTTGCGGATCTGGGCTTTCTGTCGAGACTGATCCGACGGTTACATCTATGGATACTTCATCTGATTGTTGAGTTACTGGGTTACTAGGCTCTGAATTTGAGTTACGGGTTGACTCAGATTGCTGAGATGATTGAGAAACTTGTGTGTTATACTCCGAACTAGATGATGATGTTGGAGATACGGATTGGTCTTGGGTTACTACAGATCCAACAGTTTGATCTTCATAAGAATCTGTTGAGAACTCAAAAACAGTTCCATCAGACAATCCGGCAGATGCATTCGTATTATCTTGTTCAACAGCTAAAGAACCCGAATTCCATGCTTGAGTAATTGTTTCAGAAGAGGATGATTCGTATTTTTGCTCCGAAGATTGATTGTTAATTTCAGATGAGGAACTAGATGATGAGCTTGTTGATTGTGAAGGAATTCCAAAAGAACCAGTAGTTGCTTCAGTTGAGGTGACAAATACAACAACAGCATCTGCACCAGAAGAACCTGCAGCTGAATTTGCTGTGTTGCTAGTTGATTGTGAAGACGTTTGCGAAGCTTGGCTACTAGTTTCTGTAGAAACTGAATCAACTGATCCAACTGTTACATCTATTGATACTCCACCTGATTGTTGAGTTACTGGGTTACTAGATTCTGAATCTGAATTTGGAGTTGATTGGGTTGAAGAACTAGGTGTTGAATCTTGAGTTGGCATCTTATGAGTAGATTGATCTACAGCTTCTGAGGATCCAACGGTTGTATCATCATAAGATGAACTGGCAGATGATTGAGTGCTTTGGACTTCTGAAATTGAATCAAAAGTTGCAGACAAACTAGAACTAGTTTGCTGATCTGGAGATGGTGATGGTGTACCAGATGAATCAGCACTGTTTTCGTTTGATGATACAATTATAACAACTGTGTTACCATCAGAGGTACCAGAAGTTGCCTGAGTTGTTGGTGCATTACCCTCAGATGAAGTTGAAACTGATATTGATACATTGCTGGATGATTGTGATCCGTATTTGCTATTTTCAGCTGAGGCAGATGACCCAACAGTAGCATCTTCGTAAGAATCAGTTGAAAATTCAAAAGCAATTTCATCAGATAACGATTCACTAGATGTTGTAAGATCTTGACCCTCATGTAAAGAAGCAGAGTTCCATGCTGGGGTAACTGATTGAGAAACAGAGTCATAAGATGGTTTTGATTCATGGCTAGCGGATTGCGAAGATGAAACTTCGCTGTTTTCGTTTGATGATACAATTACAACAACTGTGTTACCGTCAGAGGTACTAGAGGTTGTAGGTTCGTTAACTTCCGATGAAACTGAGGCTGATACATTGCTGGATGATTGAGAGGACGTTTGGACAGCTTGGCTACTAGTTTCAGTTGAAACTGGAACAATTGATCCAACAGTTACATCTGCAGATACTTCACTTGATTGTTGAGAAACTGGGTTACTGGACTCTGAATCTGAGGTCCGCTTAGCACCAGATTCCTGAGATGAAGCTTGTGTGCTATACTCCGACTAGATGT